TTGTTATAGTATATATATATATATATATATATATATATATTTTTTATAATTTTTTTAACTTTAATGATTTGGACTGGTCGCCGGCACTTGGCAACGTTCCGTCACCAACTGGTTTGTTGTACTAGTAGTGTCGCATATTTGTACAAAGACTTTATTACTGCATTTCACGAGGTGAAGGCGGCTTCTAGAATTATCTACCAGGGTCCTTTCTTTCTTCGACATTTATTCATTATTTTATTATTTTACTGACGCTGCACAGCAAAGAGAGGCTTGAAATTTTTTATTACCTTAATTTTTAAAATTTTTAACTGGTTAACGAGAATCTCACCAAGTTTGAAAAAAAGTTACACATTTTATACTGTACAGGTAAGGTGCATCCAAAAATTAGACTAGCTATGTTATAAAAAGGTGCATCCATCGGAGTAAGATTTTCCAAATCGATCAATTCAACCTGATAGATATGAAAAAAGGGGATTTATGTTTTAGTTTTAAAAACAGGTCATCTTCTAACTGGAGTGGTCCATTTTTAAAATTTTTAAGTATTCATATATTGTTTGATCGTCACTATTTATGGAACTTTAAATTTTATAATTAAAGGCAGCAATAAATTTTCACATTATCACAAGCATTGTTGGAAAAATCGAGCAATTTAACTGCTAATCGCCTAATTAGAAAAAATAAAAAACGAAACTAACTTTCAGCGATTGAATATGATCATATGAGAACTCAACTCAACCATTGGAAGGTGCTTGTGCACCTTACCACTTGTCCACATAATGTGGATGGGGTACTTTTCCTTTAAACTTACTGCACGGTATACAACGATAGAAGGGTGATTGTATTTGGCTTCTTTTCGAGCATTTCTGCAAAGAAGGGTTCACTTGTTCGTGATAGAAATGGAATCAAGATATCGCATTGTCGTTTTCCGGCATTCTGACTTCCTAGACTTGAGCTCATCCTTAAGTTTATTTTATTTAGTTGCTACAGAGTGACTGATACATTATAACCATCTCACCATGTTTATATTCCATACAGAAAAGAAATAGTTACATACTTTGCATCCCAATTTGGACCTTTACTAGTAAGCCGGCCATGCCATGAATGTATTTGACATCGTCAACTGTTTTTGAGGTAGAGAAATTTATTTTGTGGGAACGTGTTGGAAAATTTCCAATCTAATTTGGAGTCATTCAACTTGAATTTGGATTAGGACATGAACAATTCTGACAAGAGAAACCCAAAAACTGCACGGGTTCTCTTGGTTTTCTATTTTCTTAAAACACTTTATTTGTTATTCGCACACCAAATCAGGCAATATGGATCGGAATCAACACCGGTTAGGGCTTTTTTATATGATCACTGCATCCCAATAAATAGAGACAAGGAAGTAGGTAAGATTGATGGTAAAAAAAAAATATATAATATAAAAAAAACGTACTTTAGATATCTTGGGTCCATAATATATGTAATTAGAGCTAGGGACGAAGTGGAGTTGTACTACAAGAGTTTTATGTAGTCACCACCAATGAAGTTGACGGGGAAGTTCTATGAGAAAATTGTGAGACCGACTTTGCTTTATAAGGTAGACTACCGGGTAGTCAACAAACGACATGCTCATAGGATGAGTGTAGCTGAAATGAGGATGTTGAGATGGATGAGTGGAAAGACATGAAGACATTCAGGAGAACTTAGATGTGGCTCCAGAGGCGATAATATGAGAAAACATAGAATTAGGTGGGCTGACCATGTGCATCACATACCCATTACAGTATTGTTAGGAGGTGCAAGTTGGTTTCAGTGGATGGCTAAAAAAGAGCGAGAGGTAAGCCCAAAAACACATGGTTAGAAGAAGTGGTTTAAAAAACGGATCGGTGTCCCTGATCGTGCACCCCAAAACCCATCCGAATCAGTGAATCAACAGTTCGGATCAGAAATCGATAGGATTCGATAATAAAAAAATCTAAAAACATTATTAAAAATCATTATAAATATTCTTTTTAGGAATCCAATAAGAAATGGGGTACTACATTATTAACTTTCATTTTTTTTCATCAATATGCGAATATTGAGATGTTCTTTCCCTGTATGAACTTATGTTAACCATTAAATTTACATCGCACAAAAGAAAAATCACAGAATTATTATGGATGAAGTATATATCGTACATGAACTACAATAAATAATGGATTTAATCGATGAAAAAATGACTACAAAAATCTCGAATTGGCTGAAATCCCAATTCACTAAGAAAAAACCCAAATTATTACAACTTAACTAACTATAATCCAAAATTATTACAACCTAACTAACTATAATATTATATACTTAAATTGAAATTGTTGATTTATATTTTATAATTATTTTACTATACAAATAATAACAAATCTAAATTATCTTATAATATCATCTAATTTAAAATATATTATTGACAATTGTAAGAAAAACGGTACATTGCATAATTTATAACGCAATTGTTTTTCAAAAATCAAGTTTTTTAGGTTGCTAGAATAAATTTAGTGGAAGAGATTGTTAGTATAGAGAGAGAGAGCGAGAGAGAGAGAGAGAGAGAGAGAGAGAGAGAGAGAGAGAGTATTACTAAGTAGTCTCTATTATATACGTAACCCTATTACGTTTAAAGTTAAACGGTGCGGTAACTTTGTATTACGACGACCCGAAGATCCTAACTAA